AGAGGTCAGTCTTCATATTGTCAGATACTTGTACCTTCCAGAGGTCAGTCTTCAGCTTGTCAGATACTTGTACCTTCCTGAGGTCAGTCTTCATATTGTCAGATACTTGTACCTTCCAGAGGTCAGTCTTCAGCTTGTCAGATACTTGTACCTTCCAGAGGTCAGTCTTCATATTGTCAGATACTTGTACCTTCCTGAGGTCAGTCATCATATTGTCAGATACTTGTACCTTCCAGAGGTCAGTCATCATATTGTCAGATACTTGTACCTTCCTGAGGTCAGTCTTCATATTGTCAGATACTTGTACCTTCCAGAGGTCAGTCTTCATATTGTCAGATACTTGTACCTTCCTGAGGTCAGTCTTCATATTGTCAGATACTTGTACCTTCCTGAGGTCAGTCTTCATATTGTCAGATACTTGTACCTTCCTGAGGTCAGTCATCATATTGTCAGATACTTGTACCTTCCTGAGGTCAGTCTTCATATTGTCAGATACTTGTACCTTCCTGAGGTCAGTCTTCATATTGTCAGATACTTGTACCTTCCTGAGGTCAGTCTTCATATTGTCAGATACTTGTACCTTCCTGAGGTCAGTCTTCATATTGTCAGATACTTGTACCTTCCTGAGGTCAGTCTTCATATTGTCAGATACTTGTACCTTCCAGAGGTCAGTCTTCAGCTTGTCAGATACTTGTACCTTCCTGATGTCAGTCATCATATTGTCAGATACTTGTACCTTCCTGATGTCAGTCTTCATATTGTCAGATACTTGTACCTTCCAGAGGTCAGTCTTCAGCTTGTCAGATACTTGTACCTTCCTGATGTCAGTCATCATATTGTCAGATACTTGTACCTTCCAGAGGTCAGTCTTCATATTGTCAGATACTTGTACCTTCCTGAGGTCAGTCTTCATATTGTCAGATACTTGTACCTTCCAGAGGTCAGTCTTCAGCTTGTCAGATACTTGTACCTTCCTGATGTCAGTCATCATATTGTCAGATACTTGTACCTTCCTGATGTCAGTCTTCATATTGTCAGATACTTGTACCTTCCAGAGGTCAGTCTTCATATTGTCAGATACTTGTACCTTCCTGAGGTCAGTCTTCATATTGTCAGATACTTGTACCTTCCTGATGTCAGTCATCATATTGTCAGATACTTGTACCTTCCTGATGTCAGTCTTCATATTGTCAGATACTTGTACCTTCCTGAGGTCAGTCTTCATATTGTCAGATACTTGTACCTTCCTGAGTCAGTCTTCAGCTTGTCAGATACTTGTACCTTCCAGAGGTCAGTCATCATATTGTCAGATACTTGTACCTTCCTGATGTCAGTCATCATATTGTCAGATACTTGTACCTTCCAGAGGTCAGTCATCATATTGTCAGATACTTGTACCTTCCTGAGGTCAGTCTTCATATTGTCAGATACTTGTACCTTCCAGAGGTCAGTCTTCATATTGTCAGATACTTGTACCTTCCAGAGGTCAGTCTTCAGCTTGTCAGATACTTGTACCTTCCTGAGGTCAGTCTTCATATTGTCAGATACTTGTACCTTCCAGAGGTCAGTCATCATATTGTCAGATACTTGTACCTTCCTGAGGTCAGTCTTCATATTGTCAGATACTTGTACCTTCCTGAGGTCAGTCTTCATATTGTCAGATACTTGTACCTTCCTGAGGTCAGTCTTCAGCTTGTCAGATACTTGTACCTTCCTGAGGTCAGTCATCATATTGTCAGATACTTGTACCTTCCTGAGGTCAGTCTTGTACCTTCCTGAGGTCAGTCTTCAGCTTGTCAGATACTTGTACCTTCCTGAGGTCAGTCTTCATATTGTCAGATACTTGTACCTTCCAGAGGTCAGTCTTCATATTGTCAGATACTTGTACCTTCCTGAGGTCAGTCATCATATTGTCAGATACTTGTACCTTCCTGAGGTCAGTCTTCAGCTTGTCCGATACTGGGGTCAGTCTTCAGCCTAATGGCTTTAAACTCTTGGGTCCAATTCCAAAAACTGGATTGAATTTGAGCTGCACCAAAATAAATGTGCACTGTGATGGTTGAGTGTGTCTGTAATAAAACAGGAAAATTGAAGAAGTAGAAGATTAATGCCATGATATTAAAGCCGCTTTTACACCATGCTGTTATAAAGCTTTCAGTTCTCAGTACGGACCAGGCTGCGATAAAATATGCCCATTTACAGCTCCTCAGTTGTAGTGTAAATGAAAAGTGTTCCAGGCACGGTTTTCTGTGGAACTCTTCTTGAAGAAGTTAAAATTAACCCTTGTTGTCACCCTAAAGTATTCAACAATGGCACTGAATAATGACGAAATTCCACAGGAAAAGGTGAAGGTCAGTTGTGAGGCATGTGCAGTAAAGCGTTCTTGGAACGGTTCTTGTTTAGACTACACCAAATTATCCATTTCAAGACCAACTCACCAGGGTTGGCCAGAATTAGAACGGTTCTCAGAACCCTTTACATTACACAACATTCATCTGTTCTGTTCTGAGAACCGTTCTGAGATGGGATAAATTATGTAATGTAAAAGGGGTTATAACTGAAAACTGGTTACTCTTTGAAACTTCCATATAAAAACCAATATTTGTCTGATATTAACAGGAAAAATAGAAAATATCAGACGCATTCACAGAGAGTTTTAGGCTTCACATTTTGGGAGAAAATGTAAGAAACTTTCTAAATGACAAAATTTCAAATAGTGACTTATTTTGGTCTGATATAGATTGGAGAATGTTTGTACGACAGTATAGTCTAACCTTTTTAGGAGAAAATACAGACTGGAGGTCTACTCTCAATACAGGAGAGGTCATAGGTCAGTTTATATGTGACTTTACCTAACATTCCTGTATTAATACAGCTCTCTCTCTAGTGGTCCAATACAATTTTAATCTTTTTTACAAGAGAGTGAGAGGAACAAGCTGGCAAAAAAAAAGGTCAAAAATTTGATGTCAACTGAGTACTTCCTTCTATCAGTTTCTACCTATTCTACTCCATCAATATACGTTGAAAGTCCAAAATTTGAAAAAGGACTCTGAAACACTAAGTAATGAAAATATAATTGAATATTTGTAGCCAAGTTTTGACCAAGTTTGATATTCTATTTTGGTCATATTTCTTACTGTAATGTTGATAATATAACCAAACTTCCGCTGGGTGTGTTTCTTGATGAAATGAACTCACTGTTAAAGGATCAACCAATCATTGCAGACATTACACTTTTAAAGGGACCGATTCACCATCTGTTTGACCAATCAAACCTTAGTCTCAGAAACTGAAATATTTTAGCTTAGCTGATCAGTAATTGTGTTTACAGCTCATAGTTGAAATTTGAGTCTTCAAATCCACGTGTATCCAGAATTATCCAAGTTTAAAAGTTCAAAAGACATAAAGAAAAATTAGGTGAAATTCCTAGTTTGAAAAATTTTGCGATTTTTGTACAGTTCAAGTACTTCTGAAGAATATTTATATATATTCAAGACTTACATCAACCCTGGAAAATAACAAACCATGGCCTGAAAGAAAATAACAAACCATGGCCTGTAAGAAAATAACAAACCATGGCCTGTAAGAAAATAACGAACCATGGCCTGTAAGAAAATAACAAACCATGGCCTGTAAGATAATAACAAACCATGGCTTGTAAGAAAATAACAATTGTAAGAAAATAACAAACCATGGCCTGTAAGAAAATAACAAACCATGGCCTGTAAGATAATAACAAACCATGGCCTGTAAGAAAATAACAATTGTAAGAAAATAACAAACCATGGCCTGTAAGAAAATAACGAACCATGGCCTGTAAGAAAATAACGAACCATGGCCTGTAAGAAAATAACAAACCATGACCTGTAAGAAAATAACGAACCATGGCTTGTAAGATAATAACAAACCATGGCCTGTAAGAAAATAACGAACCATGGCCTGTAAGAAAATAACGAACCATGGCCTGTAAGAAAATAACAAACCATGGCCTGTAAGAAAATAACAAACCATGGCCTGTAAGAAAATAACGAACCATGGCCTGTAAGAAAATAACAAACCATGGCCTGTAAGAAAATAACGAACCATGTTCTCTAACAAACTTGATGATAAAAATGTGTTTAGTATAAACAATGGAGGTGAACATGTTGTTTGAATAATAAAAATCTGAGTTTAATAATTTGTTTTTGACACAAACAACTCCATTTTCTCAGCAAGATATCTTTAACTTTACAATTTAACAAGTGGTTTTAATATAGTTTATCTAAAGTCATTATTAAATATACTGGTGACTACCTACTAGGCCATGCTAGTTGACTAATATTTATATATTAAAGATGGGTTCCCTTATTTTCATTTATGATAACACTAATACTTATATGAATAGAAAGTAGAGATGTTCTAATGACTTGGAAAAATTCCAGTTTGTCCATTATTAATTCATAATTACCTAAATTAGAAGAGAATTACCAGCAGAATTCCATTGAGTGACTGATCAAGAAAGGTCAAAAAGTATTTTTTTGTTTATCCAGACTGTACTTACATGGACATTTATGATTGGTTAAAACTCTTAATTATATGCAATAAGAACATAATGATATTATTAAGAATACATGATGATTCATTAGAAACACCAACTATTCAAATATTTTGCTTAATTTGACACTAAAAAATGAGGAAACCAATCTTTAAATATATTGGTGACTAACTTACTAGACCATGCTGAGTTGACTAACTCAAGCACTGAGTGACATTAGGTGTTGGGTAAACTGTGGGGGAAAAGTTAATGTTAATTTTAAAATGTCCACACACATATTTATCATATTTTTCATCGAAATATTTTGAGAAGAAAGTTGTAATTTAGCGTGAGTTGATTTAGGATGGACAGAAGTTGAGCTAAGTTACACACCATGATCAGCCTGATACAATACAGAACAGTGGTATACAAAAGTCCAATTGATTTCAATTTGTCTTGATAAATTTCCATGGTTTTTGATCATAAAAGATGATTTATATCTGTTGGACGCTTGCTCACTAACCTGAAGATCCAGGGTTCAATCCCGGCATAGGTCAAGATAATACCTTCAGATTTTTCAACCCGGTTTCCCCCTGTCAGTGATTCAGGTAAGAGAGGCTGACATGGAAAAAGCGTCTAGTCGTTCGGATGGGACAATAAACCAAGGCCCTGTATGCTACAGGCTGTGCACGTTAAAGATCCCTCGACAGTTGGAAATCGAAAAAGAGTAGGCTAATGCTGCTGTCCTGGCAAAATTTCCCTCATTGCACCCTGCATAGCGTTGCCCGTCTTCATTAGCCCACATGGTGCTGAAAAGTAGGACGTAAAACTCCATTCAATTCAATTCAATTGTACCTGTTTGTTACAAATATTTCATGGTATTTGTCATAGAGAGTTGTTTTACACCCTGTTGTGTACAATGAGGAAACTTTGGACTTGATTGTAATAGGTTCTTGATGATATTAACAAGTAGAGGACAATATACACAACATGTATCTTGAGGAAAATTGGAACCCGATGTATGACGGATGAATTCTTAATGATATATAACAAGTAGAGGACAATATTCACACCATGTATCTTGACCATGTTTTTTATTGAAACGCTTGACGGAAGATCTTCAATACATTAATCAAAAAAACATGA